CTACATAGTGAGTTCCAGGACAGCTGGGGCTGCAGGGAGACCCTGTCTCAAAAAGACCAAAAAAAAAAAAAAATCAGTCTTTTTAAAAAATTCAATCCATTTTCTTTTACTGGAGTTCACTATCTGGCCCAGTCTGGCTTTCAACACTCAACACTCCCGTCTCAGTCTCAGCAGTGCTGGAAATACAGGAGTGATCCACTACACTCAGCTTCTTTTCCCACCCTAAAACCTTTCAATATGCAAGACTCGCCCTTGGTAAACATCCGTGAGTAAATCTAATCTTCCATCTCTCTTCCCGCCTCACACCCTTCTCTTGCCTCACACCCTTCTCTTGGCTCATTCTCAGGGACGCACTGCCAGGAAAGAACTACATTTCCCGTCGACCTCTGTGCTCGACAGACTTTTGCGACACCACCTACTTTTAGGATCGTACCAGACCCACCCCTTTGCTCCCTAAGTGCTGCCTTCGGCCTTACGTCAGGAGTTCCAGTCCCCTCCTCTTACGTAAGCGCCCGCCCAGTCACCCAGCCCTGAGGGGGCGTGGCCTCCTGGCCTCGTCCTGAGATCTATTGGCACAGCGTCGCCGCTAGGACGTGGCTACGGGAGCCGGGCGGGCCCATTTCGAAGCACCGCTGAGGTGTTGGCAGCGGTGGCGGTGAAACATGCACGCGGCAGGTTTGTCGGCGCCGGCGGGGACGCCCCGGCTGCGTAAGTGGCGTACGTGGCCGGCAGAGGCGCTCGGGCGGGCGAGGGTGTGGTGGGGCCGTGGCGGCGGTTGGCGAGGTCACCGCGGGTCGGAGGTCAAGAGACAGAGGATCTGGAGTAAGGTTTGCACAGCGCAGGGATGCCAAGTCTGGGTAGAGGCGCACAGCGAGTAGGTGCTCCAGGAACGCCTTCAGGAGAAAGCAGGTTAGGGTGGGATTTTGCGTGATGGCCGGAAGAGCGCGGCTTCCATTCATTTGCAGTCTGTGCTCCCCACCTTTCAGGGGCTCCCTAATACCCATGAGCTGTCGCCGAGGCTCCTGAGTGCAGATAGGGCCCTTTTTAGTCCACTTAAGACAGGTACCAGGGCTCATCGTCCTCTAACCCCCTTTTACCAGCTGTGAATTTGAATTCCTCCTTAAGTGCCTCTTAGTCTCCATTTGTGTGTCCTATTTGTTTCATGTATTCATCTGACATATCTTGGCCCAGCGAACCTCGTGCCAGGCAGGCCCTGGGCTGGAATTTGGGTACCCACTAGTAACCACCAAAGCCCTGGTTCTTGCTGTCTTAGAGCTCAGAGTTCAGTGGGAAGAAAGATGCTTAATGGGGAAGAAAACAGGCCAACAACAGTAGTTGAGGAGAGCTGGTCCACACCTTTAGTTCCAGCACTCAGGAGGCAGGTGGATCTCTGTGAGTTCCTGGCCAACCTGGTCTACATCGTGAACTTCAGGCCAGCCTGTCTAAGAAATAAAAATAAAAGAGTGGAACAGGTGTAATAAGAGAGGGAGAGAGAGCAGTCTGGGATGTGACTAGGGCTTGAGGACGCACTTTCCATCCCCCTCCCTGGCGATCTTAAGCATTAGTGCCTGGCAGTAGAGCAGGGGTCAGTGGCAGCCTAAAGTAATGGAGCTGCTGTGATAGACGCACAGGGGAACCTGGCAACTTGGGAGACTGAGGGAGGAGGATTGTGGGTTCAGGGGCAACACAGGGTGATTCTGTCTTTAAAGAATATAAAAGGGGGCCTGGCGTTGGTGGCACATGCCTTTAGTCCCAGCACTGGGGAGGCAGAGGCAGGCAGATCTCCGTGAGTTTAAGACTAGCCTGGTCTACATAGTTCCAGGACAGCTGGGGCTACAGAGAGACCCTGTCTCAAAAAGACCAAAAGAAAAAGAAAAGCGGGGGATGGGAAGGAGTGGTGGCTCAGTGAGTAGAGGCACCTGCTGCCAAGCCAGATGTCATGAGTTCCAGCTGCAGGACCCACATGGTGGAAGGAGAGAATTAACTCCCACAAATTGTCTTCTAACCTATACATATACATACATACATACATACATACATACATAAATGTAATTTTTTTAAATAATTTTTTTGGTTTTTTTTTTAAATTTTATGTGTGTGTATTGCCTGTATGTAGGTAAGTGCACCCGTGTCGTGCAGTGCCCGCAGAGGTCAGAAGAGGCTGTTGGATCCCCTGGGACTGGAGTTACGGACAGTTGTTAGCTGCCATGTGGGTGCTGGGATTCGAACCCGGGTCTTCTGCAAGAACAACCAGTATTCTTAACTACTGAGCTATCTCTCCAGCCCCATAAATGTAATTTTAAAAATTAAAAACAAAAAAAATTAAAAACAATTAGTTCTTAAAAAAAAATACAGGACAGGCCTGGGGGAGGTACAGGCCTGGGAGGCACAGGCAGAGGACCTGGGGCTGGCATTGGAAGTATAGTGGAGCTCAGTTGCTATGGCTTGGAGTATCTGAAGTTCCTGGAAAAGGGTACACTTAGTGATGAAGAATTACCTAGAAGATGCATGGTGAGAGGGAAAGGCAGTGGAGGCCTGTGCCCAGAAAACATCTAGACAAGTGTGAATAGATATTTGGGGGGGAAACAGGACCCCTGATCTGAAAAGGAGCTCCTGAGGGAGGTCTGGAGAGGAGAGCATTTGAACAGAGGTCTGAGTATGACATTGGCAGGTGCCCATGGGGAAAAGGTGTTCCAATATGGTATGTTAAAGAGTTTTTCAGAGTCTGTGGAGTCCTCAAGGGCTGGGTCATACAGGGCTGAGGAGGTGTTTAATTCTAAGCATAGTGGTCCCTGACTTTAGGCAGAGGATGATACAGTTCATGTTCATTTAAAAGAATGAATATAGACAGATGTGGTGGCATGTACATGTAATCCCAGCACTTGGAAGGTGGAGGCAAGAGGATTACCTGTGAGTTTAAGGCCAGCCTGGGCTACAGAGTGAGTTGTAGGGCAGCAAGAGCTACATATTGAGGCCTTGTATTAATCCAATCATGGTGGTATATACCTTTAATCCCAGCACTTGGGAGGCAGAGGCAGGTGGAGGTAGGCAGATCTCTGTGAGTTTCGAGGCTAGCCTGGTCTATATAGAGTTCCAGGCCAACTGGGGCTACACAGTGAAACCCTGTCTCAGAAAGAAAACAACAAAAACTAAAAAGAAAGAATAGATGGGGGACCACGTGAGACACTTAAGTCAGATAGGAGATAGCAGGAACAGGAGGGAGGGTAACGTGGAGATGCCATGGGTGAGAGCTAGTGACTGGTGGCTGGATGTCAGATCCAGGAACCCAGGGGGCTTTGAGGTAAAGCCCAGGGGCAAGTTCCAAGAAACAGACCTGGGGCTGGAGCCAGGATACCCAGTGGCAGCCCGGGATGGGGCCCGGAAGTCAAAGGCTCTCTGGCTGTGAGAGCTGGTTGTGGGTGAGCTTGCCCTTGGTGAGAAGCAGAGAGGAGAGCAAGGGTAAAAATTGGGTCACCCATTTCTGAGAGCTGGAGAGGGTGCTTTGTCGGTGTGTCGGGTCCAGGAAGTCGGGAGCAGGGGTATTTTTCCATTCCTGCGCCTACAGCAGGCCTTGCTGATGGATGTCTGTGGAGTCGGATGACAGGAGTATGTGACTTTATGGTGTATCAGAGGTAGAGCTTGAGATTGGCACCCAGGGCAGTGGTGTCAAATGCTGCTCAGGGCTTGGGTCAGATAAGAATAGATCAGTGAAGCCAGGTGTGGTGGCACACATCTTTAACCCAGCACTCCAGTGGCAAAGGCAGGCAATGTCTGTGAGATCAAGGCAAGCCTTCTTTATATAGTGAGTTCCAAGTTGATAGGGGCTGTAGAGACACCCTGTGTAAAAACCAAACCAAACAGAAAGAGTGAAACGGTGAGCCTGGCCTCTGGTGCAGAACTGTTATCCCAGCCACTTGGAAGGCTGGGACAGGAGGATCACAGGTTCAAGACCAACCTGGGCAACCTAGTGAGACCTTGTCTCAAAAAAAAAAAAAAAAAGAGGGGCTGAAGAGATGGCTCGCCAGTTATGAGCATCAACTGCTCTTGCAGAGGATCCGTATTTGGTTCCCAGCATCCACATGGCAGCTAGCAACTGTCTGTAACTCTTAATTCCAGGGGATCTGGAGCCCCCTTCTGACCTCTGTGGGTGCACTTAAATACATGCAAGCAAAACGCACACATAAAATTTTTTTTAATTAAATAGATTTTCTTTTTGGGTCTTTTTGAAGCAGGGTCTCCCTGTAGCCCCAGCTGGCCTGGAACTCACTATGTAAACCAGGTTGGCCCACTCCAGTTCTAGGAGATCTAACACCTTCTGGCCTCCACATGTACTCTACACACCATGGGAGTAGAAACCTCTAGGCTCAAGGAGAAAGATTAGAAAGTGGGGATGGGGATGGGGTGGGGCTGGGCTGGGCTGGGCTGGGCTGGGGATGAGGTGGGGGCTGATGCAAGAGAATAAGGAGTCACCCTCTAATACAGCCAGGTCACCCCCTAATACATAGTGAGTTCTAGATCAGCCTGCTGAGACCTTGTCTTATAAAAAGAGGACAGCTAAGGATGTAGCTTAGTAACAGAACACTTGATTAAGTGTGAGGCCCTGATTTCAATCTCTGTACGGGTGTGTGTGTGTGTTGGAACAGTGAGCCGGTGAGCTAGATATGATGGTATGTGCCTTAATCCCAGTCTCCAGAGAGGCTGAGGCAGAAGGACCCTGAATTCAGGAACCAGCCTAGGCTACATAGTGAAACCATGTCTCAAATAATAAAAAAGGGGCTGGGGAAATGGCTCTCTGTAAAGTGTTCATTGTTCAAGCATGAAGACCTGATTTTGAATCTGTAGCACCCACATAAATAGCTGGCTGTAGCAGTCATGCCTGTAATCTCAGTGCTGTGGAGGTAGAGACAGGAGGAGTCCTGGGGCTTGATGGCCAGCCAGTCTAACCAAATCAGTGAGCTACAGGGTCAGCGAGAGACCCTGCCTCAAAGAATAAGGTGGAGAGCGTTTGAGGAAGGCTGGTGTCAGCCTCTGCACTCTACATGCACGTGCACAAACATGTACACATAATCCTTCTGTCTCAGCCTCCTAAATGCTGGGATTACAGGTGTGAGCCACCATGCCCAGCTGTACCAATAATTTTATGGGGCCAGGAAGTTTATGAGTGCCACTTTGCATCACGACAGCCGGGCTGACAGATAGCAGACTGTTGAGTCTGTTCATGCACGATTTGATCCCTCTTTTCCACCCATGGCAGTCTTTCTTATACAGCTTACCGTGCCTGGCACAGGAGAGCCTCTCCATAATTGACGGCTGGGACAGCATCTCTCAGCAGTCAAGAACTGGGGCCCCAGAGCCACAGTGCTGGGTTCACAGGCCACATCTCCCCACACAGCACCCACTGTCTGTTCAGACAGGGGATTCCACCACACCCCAGCTCAGCACACCTCCAGCATGTCCTAGATGATTCTTTCTATATATCCTCACCCCAGCCCTCTTCACCCTGATCCCTAATCTAGCCCAGCTCAGCAGCCTCCACCCTCCCTTCTCTGCCCTTCCAATTGGTCTCCCTCTCCCCCCATGAAGCCACATGGCATTTGTACAAATTATTGTGGGGTTTTGTTTTTGTATTATGCCATGATGGGGAATTTAACCCCAGTACCTGCACTGTACCATTTTTTTAGAGGAAAGGAGAAGATTGTGTGTGTGTGTATGTGTGTGTAGTATTTGTGAGGTCAACTTCAGATTTCATTCCTCAGATACCATCTACCTTGTGGGGTTTTTTGAAACAAGATCTCACTATGTAGTCCTGGCTGGCCTGGAACTTACCTCGTAAACCAGGCTAGCCTCTCAGAGATCCTCCTGCCTCTGCTTCCCAAGTGCTGGAATTAAAGGCATGTGCTATCATGCCCAGCCCACCTAGTTTTTTAAGACAAGGTCCTAAACTAGCCTGGGACTCACCAGGTAGTCTAGGCTTGCCCAGTGAGCCTGTAGGGATTACACACAAGTGCCACCACCATACCTGGCTTCTTTGTGCAAGTTCTGGGAGTCCAGATCAGGTTCTCATGCTCGTGTGGCAAGTACTTCACTGACTGAGCCATCCACACAGCCTTTTTGTTTGTTTTTGAAGCAGGGTCTCATACAGCTCCAACTGACCTTGAACTCTATACTTAGCCAAAATGGCCTTGAACTCCTAATCCTCCAGCCTCCACCTCCCAAGTTAGAGTTAGAGGCCCACACTACCATCCTCGCTGGTTTTTTGTCTTCTCAGCTAGCCCGGGCTGGCCTTGAACTCACAGCACTCCTGCCTTCTTCCGAGTGCAGGAATTGCAGATGTGTATCTCCTGCTTGGCTGCAGAGTGCTTGAAGCTGGCTCCGTCTCATGCTGTCTATGTGACTTTGAAACTAAGCTTCTTTGGACTTGCTTTGGGGGTAAAGTGGAGACATTATTTTGGTGTTTTGTTTTATTTTGGTTTTGAGACAAGGTCTCACTATGTAGCCCTGCCTGGCGGGGGAACTCTCTATGTAGACCAGGCTCAAACTCAAAGAGGTCTGCCTGTGTCTGCCTCCCAAGTACTGGGATTAAAGGCATGCGGCACCACTCACGGCTAAGATCTATTTATTTTATCTGTACATGTCTGAGTGTATGTATGTGTACCATGTGCATGCAGTGCCTGTAGAAGCCAAAAAGAGGGTATCAGATCCCCTGGAGCTGGTTGTGAACCATCCAGTTGGGTGCTGGGAACCAAACCCCAGTCTTCTGCAGGAGTGGCAGGTGCTCTTAACCACTGGGCCATCTCTCCAACCCAAGTCTTGTATTTCTTTCTGAGAGCCTCTCTTTCCATTAACCCTTGTGGTTAAACCTGTATTAAAACATCTTTATTAAACTCCAACTCTAGGGGGCTACCCATGTAGCTGGCCAGGTCTTGGTTTACACATCTGTTAAATGGGGTAGTTTATTCATTCTTCATGTTGAGTGCAGAATCTAAGCCTGTTCTAAGGGCTGAGGCATTTAGCTGTGAACAAGGTGAAGTTCCCACTGGGGCCTCAGTCTAGGCGGAAGACAGCTGACAAAAAAAAAGTAGAGAAAACTAGTCTGTCAACGGGGCTAAGTGCTGTGGGCATAAATGAAGCAGGGGTCAGTGGGTGCTGCCAAGGGAAGTACAGTTGTAGGCAGCAAGACCTGCAGGAAGAGAGGACAGAGGCCTGAGAGTGGGAGGGGGAAAGCATTCCAGGCCAAGGCATGGCTAGTGCAGGAGTGGAGACTGAGGGAGGGAAAGTATGGAAGGAATAGGAACCAAGACAGCAATGATTAGAACAGGAGTTTTGCAGAGTAGGCCCCAGGACAAAGTAGGGAGCATTGCATCTGGAGCCGCAGAATCATCGTTTGGATAGATAGGTGAAAGATGGTGGTTGAATGGTGGGTAGCTGGTGGGTGGATGAGTAAAGGTTGGATGATGGCTAGATGAATGGATGGTGGGTGAGTGGATGGATGATGGGTAGATGAGTATATGAATAAGGGTGACTAGATGGATGGATGGTGGGTGCGTGGATGGATGGATTGGTAGACAGATGAATGGATGGATGATGGGTGAATAGATGAATGGTGGGTGAGTGGCTGGGTGGACTGGTTGATAGATGGATGGACTGTGAACAGATGAATAGATGGATACTGGGTGAGTGGATGGACAGATGAATGGACTAGATAGATGGACTATGGGTGGATGATGGATAAATGTAAGAAGAGCTGGTTGATGGATGTATGGTAGGGTGACATAGCCCATCAGATGTCACAACCAGCTGTGGCTGGAACAGGAGGCAGAACTCCAGCAGAATTGATGAGCTCCCATCCTCTTCTCCTGCAGCCTCTAAGCGGAGAGTTCCAGTGTCTCAGCCAGTCATGGCTGATCCCCACCAACTTTTCGATGATACAAGTTCAGCCCAGAGCCGGGGCTATGGAGCCCAGCGGGCACCTGGTGGCATGGGTTACTCCAACCCCTCCTCACCTCAGGAAGCCTTCCTGGCTGACCCTGTGTCCAACATGGCCATGGTCTGTGGGAGCACCTTGGCTGCACAGGGCAAGGAGCTGGTAGATAAGAACGTGAGTGGGCTGGGCTGATAGGGGTGGGAGGCAGGCAGTCAGGGGCCACAGGGTCTCAGCTTGAGCTCTGCCTCCTCAGATTGACCGCTTCATCCCCGTCACCAAGCTCAAGTATTACTTTGCTGTGGACACTGTGTATGTGGGCAAGAAGCTGGGTCTGCTCGTCTTTCCCTACCTGCACCAGGTTAGCAGCACTGGCTAGGGGCTAGGGGTCAGCATCTGAGCCGGGAAGTGGGGTGGGAGGAGCCCTGCTCTGGGTGGGGGGTCCCCCTATTCCACCAACTCTCTCCACAGGACTGGGAGGTACAGTACCAGCAGGACACCCCAGTGGCCCCCCGCTTTGACATCAATGCTCCAGACCTCTACATTCCAGGTCTCACCCACTGCCTTCACCCTCTGCCTGGGCATGTCTACGGTAGAGGTTTGGTTGCCTGATGCCAGGGATGGGCCTTCCTCTGACAAGGTTCTTTGTCTGCCTCCCACAGCGATGGCTTTCATCACCTATGTCTTGGTGGCTGGCCTTGCACTGGGGACCCAGGATAGGTAAGGATGGAGAAAGGAACTGGGGGAAGGGGGAGTGGGGCAAGAGCCATCAGGAATGTCTCAGTTCCTGTGTCTTAGAATAGCCCCACCTTGCTGCCGGTTGGCCCAGGATAGACCTGTCACTTGCAGTGTCATACCTGTGTCTGACCCACATGCAGTCCAACACAGCGCCTGTGCTGGATGACCTTCTAAACCCATTCTTTCTTCCTTTTGGCCTCCACCCCCAATGAGATACTCCTCGGCTTTACCCGCTGATCCCTTACTCCAACAGCAGTTGGAAGGTTTATCTGAGAGGTGGACCTGGCCCCCTTCCACCACCTTGTATCCAGCTATATGTACCTTGACAAGCCCCTGGCTGCCTGCCTCCTTGCTGTGCCGGCCCCCTTTCCACCCTGTTAAGGCCTGGTGCTCCTATCCCAGGACCCTTGCATATCCAGTTCCCTTGACTCAGAAATATGACCCTCCCCTACATTTGTCCAGCTGCCCAGCACCTGTTCATTGACTGTGGCTTCCTCTGCAGTGTCACTCCCAGACTGAGTCAGGCCCCAGCTCTTATCACAGTGGCTCATTTCTTCCCCTGTGTGGCACTGAAAAGAAGTGCCATTAGAAGCAGTGGACTCATTGTTGAGGCTCAGGGGAGGGAACAGAGACCACAGCCCTTCCCCACCAGTTCCTTACTCTTTAGCCTTTGGCTCAGCTCTCCTCGTTTCTGGGGAGCACCCTCCTGGTGTCCTTTCATGGGCCTCTGAGGTTACCCAGCCCAGCCCCAACTCCTCTGGGTATCAACTGCCTGGGGACAGGCCTATGTCCATGTTCATCACTGCTCTGTCTCCAGTGCCCCCAACATGGCTGCCCAGGTGATGTTCAGGAGGGTCTGAGCCACCAGTCCCATGACAGAGCTTCTGTGTTACTTCTGACAGGTTCTCCCCAGACCTCCTGGGCTTGCAGGCGAGCTCGGCACTGGCCTGGCTGACACTGGAGGTGCTGGCCATCCTGCTCAGCCTCTACCTAGTCACTGTCAACACTGACCTCACCACCATTGACCTGGTGGCCTTCTTGGGCTATAAATATGTCGGGTGAGTGCTCCCACCCTGCCCACTAGCCCAACATTGGCTTCTTTAAACTTTATCCACCCTTCCTCTCTCAGGATGATTGGTGGGGTCCTCATGGGCCTGCTCTGCGGGAAGATTGGTTACTATCTGGTACTTGGTTGGTGCTGTGTGTCCATCTTTGTCTTCATGGTGAGTGGGGTTCAGGGTGGGTGAGGCTGAGGCCAAGCCCTCCTGGACAGACTTGGGGCTTTGGAGCTTCCCAGTTCAGGAAATTCAGATCAGAGCCACATTGATGAACTGGGAGAGCTTAGAGTGACTACCCAAATCTAGGGGTCTGGAGGGCTTTCTGGAAGATGGGGTGTCCAAGCTGGGTCCTTCGGGAAGAGAAAGATCCAGCCATGCTGCTAGGGGCTGGGGCTGTCCAGCATGCAGACTCCGGGTGGACACTCACGCTCACTTCTGTCCCCATGTCCCAAGCTGCCTGTATTCAGGGTGAATTACTTGGCTTAAACCTCAGTTTCCCCTTTTGTAAAGTAGGATGCTGATGGAGGATTTAGAGCAAGCATGAATGAGAAGCAGACACTGGTGGTTATGATTTAAATCTGATCCACAAGCAGAAATCTTAGACTGTGAGGTTACCATTTAAAAGTTAGGTTTGCTGGGGAGATGGCTCAGTCAGTAAAGATGATCTGAGATCAATCCTTGGACCCCCACACTAAAAAAAAGAAAAAGCAGGTGTGGTGGCAATTTGTAATGTCAGTGCTGGGGAGGTGGGGACAGGTGGTACTTGGGGCTCACTGGTTTGCTTCCCTAGTCTACTTGGTGAGTTCCAGGCTAATGAGAGACTCTGTCTTAAAGAAGGTGGACTGAGATTGTCCTTGGTTCTACACACACACACACATTTAAAAAGCCAAGTATTGGGGGCCTGTGAGATGGCTCACCCAGTAAGGGCACTTGTTACCAAGTCTGACATTCCTGGAACTCATATGGTGGAGAGAGTCGATTCCCACAAGTTGTCCTGACATCCCTACCACAGCTGAGTGCCCCCAACCCACAAAACAATTTTTTTTTCTTTTTGGGACAGGGTTTCCTTGTAGCCCCAGCTGGCCTGGAACTATGTAGACCAGGCTAGCCTCAAACTCACAAAGCCCCACCTGCCTCTGCCTCCCCAGTACTGGGATTAAAGGCGTGTGCCACCACGCCCGGCAGCAAAACAAATTATATGTATATATATATGGCCAAGCATAACTCGGGCCTGTAGTCCCAGCACTGAGCAGGTTGAGGCAGGATTGCCACAAGTTTGAGGTCTACATTTTGAGTTCCAAGCTAGGTCAGCCAGGGCTAAATAACAGAGTCAGGGAGAGGGAGAACCCAAGCAAAAACAAAAAGGAACTAGCTCCTCTAGTTGGTCTTGAAAACTTGTCACCTGGGGGCCGGAGGTGTAGCTCAGCAGAGCACGCTAGCTTGTACGTGGGAAGCCCTGGGTTCCAAGGGGGAGGGCATCAGCGAGGGTGAAAGTAGATAGGGCCACGCCCTTCGGGCGGGGCTCGCAGAGACGGCCCCCTCCCTCCGGCCTTGCCCGTCCATTACCTCCGGATCCCTCAGGGTTCCTTTGCACGCCAGGGGCGGAGCAAGTTCAGCAGGCCCTTCTGGGAGCCGAAGCTGGAGGCCTCAGAGGGGCAGGGATTGGTCCCGGGCTACCCCACACCCCCATGCTGACCCCTTTGTCCCCAGATCCGGACGCTGCGGCTGAAGATCCTGGCAGAGGCTGCGGCCGAAGGCGTGCCGGTGCGCGGAGCGCGGAACCAGCTGCGCATGTACCTGACCATGGCGGTGGCGGCGGCGCAGCCCCTACTCATGTACTGGCTCACTTTCCACTTGGTGCGGTGAAGGCCGCCCTCTCGCCCGCAGACTCATCTCGCCGCCGGGCCCGCGACCCTCCCTCCCCCTTCCCGCCAAGGTGCTGACGTCGCGGGCTGCACGTCTTACAATAAAGCTGCTGTGCTCGGTGCGGGCTCGGTTTCGTGCCTGCCGGATAGGGGACGCTGGGGAGCGGGGCGGCGGACGGGACGGAGGGCGGCAGGGAGCTTTAATGACTTAGTGGGGGGCTTTCTTCTTCTTCTTCTCCTTCTTCACCTTGGGCTTCTTGGCCTTATCCGGAGCGCGTTCGTGCTGCTTGCAGCCCGGAGCACTCGGCTGTAGAGGAGACGGCCCGTTGGGAAGTGCACCGACCGGAGCCGCCCGCCCCGCTCTGACCCAGACCGTGGCCAGGCCGGGGGCCTGTACATGTCGGGAAAGGGGCATCCCTTACCTTCCCTTTCGCCTCCGAGTCTCTGGAGCTGCTGCTGCTGCTGCTGCTGCTGCTGGAGTCGGAAGAGCTGCGGCGGCCATCCTAGACGGAGGTGTGACAGTGAGGGCAGGGACTGCCATAGGGCCCCACCGCGCGCTGTCGGACACGGTGCCCCGTGGCGAGAAACCTTACCCCTGGCTTGTGAGCAGCGCCGGCCTCTGGCCGGTCCGGAGGTTTCAGAGGACAATGCTGGGAGTCTCCCATCTGGCCTGCGCCCGCTGGCTTCTTGGAATTGGGGCCCAAAGCTGCGGAGAAGAGAACAGTTAGACGGTGGCCGCAGGAAGTGCCCCTTTGGTGGGAAGTCCCTGGGTCTGGGTCCGGCCGCTGGTACAGCAGGTCCACCACTTCCCTCGAGCACACCTGCGGCCAGGTCGAACTCCATGGCTTGCACTGGAGTGCCCGGGGGAGGAGCCCGGGATCTGCCCGCCTCAGGAATCCTGTGGAGTCCCACCCTCTGGACCTTTGTTCCCGCAGCTCTGGGGCCCTGACTCACTGACGCTCCCTGCCGCACCCAGCTTTACAGTGTGGGAAACAGGGGTGGGGGTAGACGCCAGCCTGGGGGTGCAGGAGGCAGTAGTATCACGGAAAGGGTTGAGACCTGACTTCAGTTGCCCACCTTTGCCAGGCGTTCCTGCTCCAGTGTACACTGCACAAAGTTAAGGGTGATACCTAGTGCATTCTGGAGGCCGATAAGCTTGGGTTCCCAGCTCTCTGGTTTAAAACAAACAAAAAAAGCAGTGTCCTAGGTCAGAAGCCCAGGCTAGTGCAGTATGGCAACAGCGGGAAGGCCTTAGCAAGCTGTGCCCTGGGATGGATCGGTTAACTTCCTACACTGGTGTCTTGCAGAGTGTGTGCTTGTGACTGTGTTGCGTTTGTTGTTTTGATAAAGGCAGGTGTCTTAATTTGTGCTACTATAGCAAACACAACTTAGACAAGTGGTTTTAAGAGTAATAGTTCTGGCGGGTGAGAGCCTAAGGCCAGGTGTAGGCAGATTCCTTATTTGGAGAGGGCCTGCTTCCTGCTGCGCCCCTTTTTTCTTGGCTCTAATGCGCGCCTGGGTGTAAGACCACTTCTCTGTTCATAAAGGCACTAATCCCACTCAAGAAGATCCAATTACCTCCCATTGGAACCACTTTAAAACCATCACAATGAGGATTGGGCTTCTTTCACCGTGTAAATTTGGGGGACACAGGACATTAAATCCAAGATGGGCACAGTGGTACACAACTGTAATCAATACTGGGGAGGCTGAGGCAGAAGGATTGAAAGTTCAAGGCCAGCCTGGGATACACAACAGATGTGGGTTCTGCAAGAACACCAAGTGCTAAGCCATCTCTCCAGCCTCCTAATTTTTTTTTTTTTTTAGCCCAGACTGGCCTGGAACCCAGTATATAGCAAAGACAGTTTGGTGGGCTGTTTGCAAAAGTCAAAACAAAGCTCCCCAAAATAAAAGCAAGACAGTTGGAAAGAGGAACAGGTAATTATGTAGTATGTTGAGGAGAGGCTGGATTTTTTTTTTTTTGGTGGGGAATTGGGGTGGGGGGAGTTGACAGGGTTTCCCTGTAGCTCCAGCTGGCCTAGAATTTACTATGCAGACCAGGCTGGCCTAGGTCTCACAAGAGATCCACCTGCCTCTGCCTCCTGAGTGCTGGGATTAAAGGATTGAGAGGTTGGATTTAAAGTCATCAATGAGGGGCTGGAGAGATAGCTCAGTGGTTAAGAACATTGGTTGTTCTTGCAGAAGACCCGGGTTTGAATCCCAGCACCTACATGGCAGCTAACAACTGTCTGTAACTCCAGTTCCAGGGGATCCCACAAGCCTTTTCTGACCTTCACGGGTACTGCACAACACAGATGCACTTACCTACATGCAGGAAATACATGCATACACATAAAATAAAAATAATTTTTTTTTTTGTCTTTTTGAGACAGGGTCTCCCTGTAGCCCCAGCTGTCCTGGAACTCACTATGTAGACCAGGCTGGCCTCGAACTCACAAAGATCCACCTGCCTCTGCCTCCCCAGTGCTGGGATTAAAGGCATGCGCCACCATGCCCAGCTAATAATAACATTTTTTAAAAATGTTTAAAAAAAATAAAGTCATCAATGAAAACCTCAATGGAGATTTTTTTTGCTGGTCAGTTTGTTGGGTTTTTTAATTACTTTTATATGTACAAGTGTTACCTACATATATGTAAGTGCACCATGTGTGTGCAGTGCCCACAGAGGGCATTGGATCTTCCAGAACAGGAGTAATAGAAGCTTGTTAACCACCATACAGGTGCTGGGAACTGAACCTGGATCATCTGCAAAAGTTCTTAACCACTGAGTCATCGCTTCAGTGCCTCCCCCCGTGCCTTTTTAAAATTTTTTAAAAAATTATTTTAATCATGTATATATGTTTGTGTATTTGTGCTGTGTCTGTGCACATTAATACTGGGGTCCACAGAGGACAGGAGTGTCAGATCCCCTGGAGCTGGAATTATGGGTGATAGTGAGTCACCTGATGTGGGTGCTGGGGAATTGAACTCGGGTCCTCTGGAAGAGCAATACATGCTCTTAAACACTGAGCCATCTCTCCAAACCCTGTGCATTTTTTTTTTTTTTTTTTTTAAAGAAATGAAAGAACCAGGCTGGGCTAGGTGGTACAGGCCTTTAATCCCAGCACTCAGGAGGCAGAGGCAGGTGGATCTCTGAGTTCAAGGTCAGCCTGGTCTACATAGTGAGTTCCAGGTCAGCTGGGGCTACAGGGAGACCATGTCTCAAACAGCCCAAAAAAAAAAAAAAAAAAAAAAAAAAAAAAAAAAAAAACCCAACCCTTGAAGGTTATCTGACTTCCACATGTGTGCCATGGTGTGGGAGTGCCCACATACGTAGCCAAGGATGATCCCCAGTGCTGGGATTATAGGTATGCCACTATGCCCAGCTTGTTTTGTTTTGCAAGTTGTAGGCCTGGAGTTGATGTGGGAGCCAGCAGGAACTACATGAGACCTTGCCTCAAAAATTAAAAACAAGGCCTGCCTGGGCTATAGAGTGTGTGTCAGGCCTATCTATACCTTAGTGAGACCCTGTCTCAAAGGAAAAGGCGGCTAGAGGGTATAGCTCAGAGATAGCACATTTGCCTAGCATTTGTATGGCCTTAGGCTCAACCCTCTAAAGAGGAAGAGGGAAGAAGAGGCTGGAAAGATGGCTCAGTGGTTACAAGCACTGGCTGCTCTTGCAGAGGACCCAGGTTCCATTCCCAGCACCCACATGACATGACCGTCCTTAACTCCAGTTCCAGAGGATCCGACACCCTTTTCTGAGCTCTGTGGGCATTGCACGACACAGGTGCACTTACGTGCAGGTGATACAGTCATACACATAAAATAAATAAAAATATTTTTTAAAAAAGATATAGAGGAAGAGTGTTGTAGGTAGAAGAGGATTCGGAGGTGCAAAGGCCCTAAGGTAGGAATGTTTCTGTGGGTCCAAGGACCTACAAGGAAGTCAGAGTTGAAGAATAAGAGGGGAGAGCTAGAGGTCCACAGGTAAGGCAGGGTGGGGTTAGGCTGGAGACCTATAAATCAGAGACCTTTGTTCTTTGTCATGATGAGTAAGGGAAAGGTGTAAGCAGTGGTCACAGCTGTATGCACAGCTCGTTGCAGGATAGGAGAGAAAGTGTCTGTCCTGAAACAACAAATTCCATGAGGGTGGGGGACCTGTTTGCTTTGCTCCTCACCCAGCCATGTGACTCACAGTGGTTCGGGCTATCATCTGGTGAAATCAGTAAGGTTTACCTCTGACCAGGGAGTGTGCTGATGGCAGATCACACAGCCCACTGACATAGGTGAGCCTCACCCCTCACTGTTCTGCAAACCACTCTGGATCTATTTTCTCTTCTGTAAAGGGGAAAATTTGCCAAGCATGGTGGCACTTGGAAGGAAAGGCAAGAGAGGCAGGAGGATCACTAGTTAGAGGCTAGCCTGGGCTACATAGTGAGAACACAGCCTCAAAAAGCAAATTGAAGCTAGGTATAGTGGTGCACACCTTTAATCCCAGTATTCAGCAGAGACAGACTGACCTCTGTGAGTTCTAGGCCAGCCAGTGCTACATAGTAAAGCCCTGTCTCAAAAAGGAGGGAGGTGGAGAAGCAGCCAGGTGTGGTGGTACACACCTTTAATGCAATCACTTGGGAGGCAGAGGCAGGTGGAGTTCTGTGAGATTGAGGCCAGCCTGCTCTACACAGCAAGAGTTCTATACCAGCTGTGGCTACAGGGAGACCCTGTCTCAAAAA